AAGATGCTTATATCTCTAAGTCTGGGTTCACAATAATGCGGTGCGGCACATCGCATGTGATTCACACAGGCACCATATTTCTGTGCAAATCACATGTGACGTCTGTGCAATTTGAGCCATACATCGCACCACATCCGCATCACAATAGTGCAGGACCCTTTTTCGTCCACACCAGAATCGGATCGCATGGGTATTCACACCCATGCGATCCGTTTCTGAACATCACACACCGCGTTTTGCAAACCAATTACAAGGGGTGTTGTCAACACACACACCCACATCGGTTTGCATGAACAGGGTGCGATCATGATGCGGATGCAGAAATCGCATAGGAACTGGTGTGAATTCCGCACCGCATCAGTGTGAACCAGGGGCGGACTGACCATTTGGATACTCGGGCACTGCCCGAGGGCCCGGGGTCAGTAGGGGGCCCCATGAGATGCCCCTGGTACCTTTTTCATAGGCTTTTTTTGAGTTTGGGCAAGGACACAGGGGCCTCATGATCCCCTTTTACCCGGGGGCCTCTTGAGTTGTCAGTCCGCCCCTGGTGTGAACTTGGGCTTGTTCTTCTTTCATTTACAGTAATCTCTGCATTGTTTTCATCGGTTTAAATAGCCCAATTTTGTGACAGGTTTGCTATAATTGCATGATATAAATTAAAACTCATGCTCTGTTTTGTTACATGTTTGATGTATATGGTGTTCTTTTCCAACAAAAGGGCCTTTGGAACATACCCCAGCACATACTAGACACATCTGACTCCGGCGCAAAACTTAAGTAAGACATGATGTCATTGCCTTTGCAAAACAAAACATTTCAGGCTGACAGTCAAATGAATGATTCACAAGAAAAAAAAAAAAAAACAAGAAACAGCTATCAGTCCACAGGATAAAGCAGAAAAATAATCAAATAGTATTAACAGAAAATTACAAAAAAAAAAATTATTACAATTCTATTTTTTACAAGGGCATTATAAATCCCAATGTAATCTGTACATTACCATTTTAAAGACCTTATTTCTTTCCTTCATTTTGCACCCTATATGGACATGGGGCAGCTGTAACCATTGCCAGATTTGTAAGGGGGCAAAAGAAGCAACTGCCCTGGCCTCCCTGAAGGAGGCCCGCCCCCTTTACAAAAATTATATAAAGCAATAAATAAAGATATAAAATTATGAAAAATAAATAATAAAGTAATATAATATGTATCATAAAAATATCACTTTTATTAACCGCTTTGCGCTCGCCCGCAATGTACTGTGGATGGGTGGCAGCTACAAGCAAAGTGACGTACCCGTATGGCGCTCTAGGTGTATCAACACAAGGGATATACGCCCCCCCCACATCCGCTATGTCTACTGGAGACAGCAGAATGCAGTTCCAGGTGAACGGAACCTGGTGATCATGTGATCGCTGCGCAATCACATTGTTGGCAAAGCTGTTATCAATCTGATTCATAAGAGCTTTGGTTCTCTTCTTTGGAGAGCTGTGATTTACCCACAGCTCTCACATGCTACATGGGGCCAATCACAGCACCCTGTGACTAGCTGGAGCCAGATCACTGTATTTTGAACTGTCATGAACTTAACCCATTCATGAAAGTTCAAAGCAAGCATTACATTGCAGGAACAATAATGTTTATTGCTCCTGCACTGCAAAGTGTAAAAAACAAAATCCATGATCACCCCCCCAGAGTAGTATAATATACTATGGTATCATTGTACTACTCCGATGAAAGTATTTTTAAAGAAAAAATAATAAAAAAATAAATAAACAAATAAAATACTGTATTGAGAATAAAAAAAACTACTTGCAGCCCGCCCGCAATGTGCAAAGTCTATGGGCAAAGCGACGTACCCATACGTCGCTTTCTATTTCCAGATGTGAGCGCTTACACCCCACCCCCCATCAGTCCAGGGTGAGAAGAGATCAAATTCTTTGAGGTATTACTTTCCAAAAATGGGTCATTTGGGGGTGTTTTGTACTTTCCTGGCATTTTAGGGCCTCTGTGATAGGTAGTGAGGAAATGACATGCGTTAATATACCCTTTGAAAGCCAAAAAATGGCCATTGGATTTTGGGGGCCTGTATGTGGCTAGGCTACCAAAAAGTCTCTCACATGTGGTTTCCCCATACTCGAGAGAAGTAGCACAATGTGTTTTGGAATGTTATTCCACAAATACCCATGGCATGAGTGAGCCATATATAATTTAAGTGACAACTTTGTGTAAAATGGAAAAAAAAAAAAAAGCAGCCACATATCATAAACACGAATTTACAAGATGCATTCATAAGACTCACAAGCCCTCTGGGTGGAAGATGCCAAAGCCTAGTGGGACAGGGTGGAAGAATAAACCAGGAAGATGAACTGCAGTGACACCAGCCACCAGGGACACCAAACCTCGGCTGGAAGTGATGTCAGCAGAGGACCGGAAGTGATGCAGAATGAGGGCGGAAGTAGATCTAGGAGGATGCTGTAGTAAGGGCACAGGTAGATGGTGTTTTACCACTGTAAGCAGGGCTGGAATCACCTTGAGCTGGGGCCAATCTTGGAATCAATTATCGATGGTAGGTATTCATTGGTGTATTTAGGTTTTGTGCTGCCCTAGGCAACACAAAAACTGTCCGCCCCACGGACACCGACCAACACCAACACCCCCCCTTGCCCCTCGTGGTGAAAGCCTTACATTGACCAACAACACACCCCCCCTCCCCCGGCGATAGAGAGAAATTCACTCATCTTCATCTCCGGACATCCCTGGGAATGAAAGTAAGGCTCTACATACACCATTAAGCAGCCCGCAGCCTCTCTTGGGTCCCACTTGGTTCCCATGGAGCACGTGTCCCTTTTTTTCATCCCTTTTTCTGGGGGAAGTGCTTCACTCCTGAAAAATGCCGCCCTAGGCAAGTGCCTTGTGGTAAATATGCCCCTGTAGGTAATAGGGATGTGGAACAATAAGACAAAGTAGAACACAAGCCTGTGGAGTCAGATAACTACATGTTTCAGGTTGGGCCCCTTCATAAGGTCACATGACTCACATCGGCTAAAGGGACTGACTATAAGGCGAAGCTGGGAATTGAACCAACCCCCGGACAGTTACCCTCATACTGCCTGGTTAGTCCCAAGGATCTAATGTCAGTGCATTTATTATTCATTGAACCCTTAATTTTACTGGGAGCAATCCAGTTCTTTAATTTTTTTGCTCGTCGAAAAGTAATATTTTGCCAGCCATCATCTGTAAATGATTTTACTTTGGACTGGTATATTGTATAGTTTTTAAAAACAAATTTCGCTATGCGTATGTGTGTGCACGTGTGACCTCAAAATGATGTTGTTTCATGCATTTTAAAAATGTGTGACTGTCATTGAGCAAGTAAACCAACTCTGTGTATAAGGGGACCCCAAATTTGAAGTGCCCTGGTCCTCCCAAGGTCTAAATCTAGCCCTAGCCGTAGTTGCTGTACAATGATTGAGCAGCATTGGAGAAAGTGTGAGGCTTAAAGGAGAGACGTCAAAAAGACTCTCTGCAGCAAAGCTAGCATCTACAGCTATCTTTTCTTTCTATACATCTTCCAGGTGGGTAGACTTCACTTTTTGTTTAATGGGAGAACTATATATAAAAGAGACAAAGGTGTGCTGCAAGTGATCATGCTATGAATCTCCTCTTTTAAATGTTTCATAAAGTAAACTGAGAGTGATCTTGTTGAAAATGCTAGTTTTCTGGCATCAATGCTACCTGAGACATTGACTCAAAAATAACGCAGATCAGGAAAATTGAAGACAGAGCTTCCTTATACTGTACATGCTTAATAACAGTTCGCTGATTTTCATGCTTGTCTGGCGGTTTAGTTATTTTCAGAAAGAGAAATCATAATGGCTGCCTCCATACCCTCTCAATACAATTAACCTGGGATTATAGTGGCTAGTTGTCAAAGATAACTCTAATGGCTAAAGGTTGCCATGATTAAGTTAAATAGGAACTTGCTTTATTGTCTACCAAGTTTTTTATTCTAAATTGTTTTTTAAGTAATAATCATAACACATGAGTTAAAATATCAGGGTTGGGACTATAGATGGGAAAGCCTAGAACAAAATGAAAAATTGGAAAAAAGTTTTTTTTTTCTGTTTTTTTTCCAAAGCTGTTTTTGTTTTGTTTTTTTCAGGAAAAAATTTAAAAAAAAGGGCACGGAATATGTTATTTTACAATGATAAATAATATATTTATGACATGATATTCAAACTACACTATACTGTCAAAAGTATTGGAACATCTGCACATGAACTTTAGTGGCATCCCAGTCTTAGTCCGTAGAGTTCAATATTGAGTTGGTCCGCCCTTTTCAGCTATAACATCTTCAACTCTTCTGAGAAGGCTGTCCACAAGGTTTAGGAGTGTGTTTATGGGAATGTTTGACCATTCTTCCAGAAAGTGCATTTGTGAGGTCAGGCACTGATGTCGGACGAGAAGGCCTGGCTTGCAGCCTCTGCTCTAATTCATCCCAAAGGTGTTCTGTCGGGTTGAGGTCAGGACTTTGTGCAAGCCAGTCAAGTTCCTCCACCACAGAATTGCTCATGCATGTCTTTATGGATCTTGCTTTGAGCACTGGTGTGCAGTCATGTTGGAACAGGAAGGGTCCATCCCCAACTGTTCCCACAAAGTTGGGAGCATGAAATTGTCCAAAATATCTTGGTATGCTGATGCCTTAAGAGTTTCCTCCACTGAAGCTAAGGGGCCAAGCCCAACCCCTGAAAAACAACCCCACACCATAATCCACTCTCCACCAAACTGTACACTTAGCACAATGCAGTCAGGCAAGTACCGTTCTCCTGGCAACCTCCAAACCAAGACATGTCCATCAGATTGCCAGACAGAGAAGTGTGATTCATCACTCCAGAGAACACCTCTCCACTGCATCCAGTGGTGGTGGGCTTTACAGTATACCACTGCATCTGATGCTTTGTATTGCACTTGGTGACGTAAGGCTTGGATGCAACTACTCGGCCATGGAAACCCATTCCATGAAGCTCTCTAAGCACTGTTGTTGTGCTAATCTAAAGCCCACACAAAGTTTGGAGATCTTTAGCTATTGACTCTGCAGACAGTTGGCGACTTCTGCACACTGTGCACTTCAGCATGCGCTGCCCCCGCTCTTTCATTTTATATGGCCTACCACTTTGTGACTGAGTTGCTGTTGTTCCCAGTTGCTTCCATTTTGTTATAATACCACTAATAGTTGACCGTGTAATATTTAGTAGCAAAGAAATTTCATAGATGGACTTATTGCACAGGTGGCAACCTATCATAGTACCATGCTTGAATTCATTGAGCTCCTGAGAGCGACCCATTCTTTCACAAATGTTTGTAGAAGCAATCTGCATGCCTATGTGCTTGATTTTATACACCTGTGGCCATAGAGCTGATTGGAACATCTGAATCCAATGCTTTGGAAGGGTGTCCCAATACTTTTGGCAATATAATGTATATGACATGAAGACCTCAATTAAAGATTTCTGAGACTTTATGTAAAACATTTTTTTCTCATGGCTTCAAAATTTCTAGAACTTTTACGTCTCTGGGACTTCATACACTGCAAGTAATGGTAGTTGAAGTATAACTGTACTTTTAGTACAGTTACATTATACTTAACCCACAAAGTTTTTTACTTACCTGTTCCTGGCAGATCTTCACTGTGTGGTCCCCTGGAAGATGTACCATCGCTACTTCAAAGTACTCTAGCTACTTATCTCCTTTGTTGTGCATGCACAGAAAAAAATCAGTTCATTTCAATGAAGAGTCCTTCCATATTAGATGGCCACATCACAGGAATCAATAAAGATTTCTGAGCATGTGCAGAAGATGAGGATGCCCAGCTCTGGACACCACAGTGGCGGCTATACTGGTCCCAGCAAGCCCCACATCGAAAACCTAGCAGGAGTGGGGAGAAGTGAGTATAAGACATTGGGGATGATGGTGACTTAAAGGATAACTATACTAATAATTTAGGGATCCCTTAAGAACAAACATTTATGTTAGTAAACATATAATAAGAAAATAAGGAAAGACACAATAAAAACAACCAAAATACGGAGAATAAAACTTTGACTCAGTCTTGTATGAATGAATGGAGGTAGGAATAAAATAATAGTTAAGTGGTTTACACAGCTGTGCCAGATTACCTTGAAAGTAATTAACGTGCTTCTTAGTACTGCAGCAGCCCTGCCTTAACGGTTAAAGTTCCAAGAACGCAGCTAAATATACAGTTCAAATACATACATGTGGACTGTTTTACTTGTCAAATTACTTGTTTTATTCATTTAGTCTCGTGATCTGGACACTCCAGCAAGACAACTTAAAGTGGACGTTTTCATAACTTTACAGGTCTGCATGCATTGATTCCGGTCATGTCACAATAAACAACAACTGAGGATTATTTACTAAAGTTGGTTGACTCAGAATCTTGTGCACTTCTGCATAGAAATTAATCAGTGTCCAGGTTTTATTGCTAAAGCTTAACTAAACCCATATGGAAGAAAAATATATTTGAAATATATTTTAAAGATATTCTTCCAAAATATATATATGAAAAATATTTTTAAAAATACATTTCAAATATACTGTATATCTTTAAAAATACAAATCTACATTTTTGGAATACATTTACAAATATATGTAAAAATAAATGTTAAAATCACTTTTTATGTTAAAAAAAATCTGAAGAATATATTTAAAAAAAAAAATGTTTTTTAATATTTTTTCATATATTTTGTAATATATAAAAAATGCATTTCAACATGCAGTATATATATATATACAGTGAGGAACAGAAGTGTTTGAACACTCTGCGATTTTGCAAGTTCTCCCACTTAGAAATCATGGAGGGGTCTGAAATTCACATTGTAGGTGCATTCCCACTCTGAGAGTCAGAATTAAAAAAAAAAATTCAGGAAATCACATTGTAAGATTTTTAAAGAATTTATTTGTCTTGCACTGCTGAACATAAGTATTTGAACACACTAAGAAACAGCAAGAATTCTGGCTCTCAAAGACCTGTTACTGTGCCTTTAAAAAGTCCACCTCTACTCCACTCATTAATCTAACTTAGTAGCACCTATCTGAGCTCTTTAAAGACACCTGTCCACCCCACAGTCAGTCAGATGCCAACTACTACCATGGGCAAGACCAAAGAGCTGTCAAAAGACACCAGAGACAAAATTGTGGACCTCCACAAGGCTGGAAAGGGCTACGGGGCAATTGCCAAGCAGCTGGGTGAAAATAGATCAACTGTTGGAGCAATTGTTAGAAAATGGAAGAGGCTAAAGACAACTGTCAGTCTCCCTTGGACTGGGGCTCCATGCAAGATCTCACCTCGTGGGGTATCACTGATGATAAGAAAGGTGAGGAATCAGCCCAGAACTACAAGGGAGGAGCTGGTCAATGACATGAAGAGAGCTGGGACCACAGTTTCAAAGGTCACTGTCGGTAGAACACTACGCCGTCATGGTTTCAAATCATGCATTGCACGAAAGGTTCCCCTGCTCAAGTCATCACATGTCCAGGCCCGTCTGAAGTTTGCCAATGACCATCTGGATGATCCAGAGGAGGCATGGGAGAAAGTCATGTGGTCAGATGAGACCAAAGGAGATCTTTTTGATCTAAACTTCACTCGTGTTTGGAGGAAAAAGAAGGATGAGTTGCATCCCAAGAACACCATCCCTACTCTGAAGCATGGGGGTGGTAGCATCATGCTTTGGGGGTGCTTTTCTGCGAAGGGGACAGGACGACTGCACTGTATTAAGGAGAGGATGAATGGGGCCATTTATTGTGAGATTTTGAGCAACAACCTCCTTCCCTCAGTCAGAGCATTGAAGATGGGTCGTGGCTGGGTCTTCCAACATTACAATGACCCGAAGCACACAGCCAGGATAACCAAGGAGTGGCTCCGTAAGAAGCATATCAAGGTTCTGGAGTGGCCTAGCCAGTCTCCAGACCTAAATCCAATAGAACATCTTTGGAGGGAGCTGAAACTCCGTGTTGCTCAGCGACAGCCCCGAAACCTGACAGATCTAGAGGAGATCTGTGTGGAGGAGTGGGCCAAAATCCCTTTTGCAATGAGTGCAAACCTGGTCAAGAACTACAGGAAACGTTTGACCTCTGTAATTGCAAACAAAGGCTTCGGTACCAAATATTAACACTGATTTTCTCAGGTGTTCAAATACTTATGTTCAGCAGTGCAAGACAAATAAATTCTTTAAAAATCATACAATGTGGTTTCCTGAATTTTTTTTTAAATTCTGTCTCTCAGGGTGGGAATGCACCTACAATGTGAATTTCAGACCCCTCCATGATTTCTAAGTGGGAGAACTTGCAAAATCGCAGGGTGTTCAAATGCTTCTGTTCCTCACTATATATATATATATCTATATATCTATATATATATATATATATATATATATATATATATATATATATATTTATCAAAATATAATTTGAAATGTATGGAATATGGACAAATTTGTAGCATTTCAAATATATGTCAATATAATTGGGAAGCATATTTTTAAAATGTATTTCAAATATATATTTTTTTCCATGTGGAAACAAGCTGAGTTTAGAAGCTACCATGCACAGGCGCAGGAGATTCTGAGTGAACCAGCTTTAGTAAATAAACCCCACTGTGTTGTTTTTCAAAAAAAAGCTGTACCTTTTCTCATGTAAAAGCAGCTCTTAACCACTTGAGTACCAGTGTGTAATACTCCTTCATTACCAGGACATTTTTGAGTACTGTGATAGTTTGAATGACAATGACTCCATCTTGCAATGCTGCAAAATGGTGGTTATGTTTTGGTGGTATTGAATAATATAATAATTTATAATAATTAATATAATAATTTATAATAATTTTTTTTAATCTTTCACTATAGGAGGGAAAAAAGGCCAAAAACTCCATTGTTTTTTGTTATAAAAATCGCCAGGACAAGAGGGTCCTGCAACCCTACTGGGAAAATGTTTTGTGGACTGATGAAACCAATGTTAGATTGTTCGAGAAGAATCTTCAGCATTTTGTATGGTGCGAAAAGGGCACAGCTTACCAACATCAAATTAATGTTTTTTTATAGTGAGATACACGCTTTAAAGGTTTAATCCTTTTAAACCTCTTAGATTGTGAGCTCTAATGATCAGGGCCCTCTGATTCCTCCTGTATTAAATTGTATTGTAATTGTACTGTCTGCCCTCATGTTGGAAAGTGCTGCATGAACTGTTGGCGCTATATAAATCCTGTATTATAATACAGTAATAATAACCCAGCCACTGGTGAGCCTGGTGGCCAGAGTGAAGCCTTAGAGTCCTCTATAGCTGTTATAATTCCCAATTCAGTTCCTGTGCACCTGAAAGGTTTGGGTATTCCCTCTCATCTTTAGTGTTCCAGCACCTCTTGTTGCATTCTGCATGTAGCAGGCTCCTTGTACAAGAGGATTCAGAAGGAATCACATGTTCAGCAGTCAGTCCTTCCTCTCTCTCCCCTATTTGTAAAACCTGGGCATTCTGCCAAGTTCATGACTCATCCACTACACAGCAAAGAACGCTGGGAGGGGGAGGAAGCAGGAAGTGAAGGGGAGAACAGAGAGACACGAGGCTGGAGAAAAGACAGGGACATGTGGAGCCCGTCCAAGGAGAGGAGGAGGCACTACAGCACTCAGCGCAGATAGAGGGACCCTGCTGTGTGTTCAGAGTCTGGTGAGCTGTCCCACTGGAGAAAGTAAGACACACCATTCACACCATGCATATAGACTGGGACATCCGCACCCCACTGCTGGGATCTCACCCATCCAGGGCCCTGTGCAAGCCACAGATCCCTCTGCTTGCTTTGCCCCTCACCACCAGTGTAATTGAGACTGTCTGCCCCGGGGACTGACACATACTGGGAGATTGCATCCTGCGACTGCCCCTGGTCTTGGGGTGCTTTGTGTTGCTTTTAGACACTGAGGTTGGACCCTCTCAGCCCAGGAACCTAGTGAAATCTGATATAACCCACACCAGCTGAAACTCCAAAGAAGCCTTCAGCTGCTATTTACTTCATTGTAAGGACTAAACGTGCACCAACTAGAGCTCCACCGTTACAAGGACTAGAGTGGGGGGAATCTGGCTTAGTAGCTTTATTAGAGGTACCTCTTTATTGCATTCTGTTCTGACTCTGAGGTGATTTTTGGCTAACGCCCCTCAGAAGCAGAATCATACACCGGTGTGGGTAATACATTTCATTGATAGAGCATAAGTAAGTTTATTTGTTTGATATCAGTTGTATTCTGCTTAAAGTGCGGCTCTGCCATCCGGAGACTCTTGGCTGTGAAGCCCTCTAGTGGCAGACCAAATTTACTGC